ATATTCCATTAGGTTTTCGCCATTTTTCAATACGGCCGCCATACATACCAATTTTCAGTCGGATTAGAGCAAATTTTTATCTGTCGCCTAAAAACGCATGTACAGCGTCCATTTTGAAAAATGCTAATGGAATATTACTGAATAAGTAGTTACCTACGTCTTATCTGTACGGACAAAATTTATTTTTCGCAATTTTCAATATGGCTGCCATACAATACGCTAAATGATACGTTATTTCAATTGTTAAAGTTGAGATTTCTTCCACTTCTTGAATATACTATTCATTACTGCCGGCTGGTCGAGCTCCGTGTATGGCGTATCCCGCAGCGTAAACACGCCCCGTAATCTAAGTCCGATCACGCGCCTCATGCCGAGGCCGACCCCACAGTAGGTGGGGCTCGTACTCTCCACAAACAACAGAAACATGTTGGCTTTATTATATGAGCCAAGTAAATGATTTAAAACAGCATGGGAATGTTTACGCAAACATGGACATTTTTGTGATACGCAATAACGATCAATAAAATATATATATAGTAAATTTACTACCATTTAGATAGCCTTGTTTTTACAGTATTGCATCTAGATTAACTGGATTTTAACAGAGTAATGTTATGCTCGGAAATGTTTTAAGCATGTTTACATTGAAATGATTTTTTTTACGTAAAATTAATTACCTTTGGCACTAGTATAATTAATTATACTGCGTAATTAGCTAAACAATAGCGAGTTGAAGTTTTATATTCCAACCATCGAATCTCAAGCCTCTTGGCTTTCATACCTGGTAGAACCAGTTCACAAAAATATCTTCTCTGAATTGATTCTGGTCAGGGTGTCATGGACAATGAATCCCACAATAAATTTTGTTCCTAGTAGTAAAGGAACTTTTCTAAACAATGTAATCAATAGGTGTGACGCCTGATATCTTTAATTTATATTACTTGTAAGCGACACTTGATCCAGGTCAGTTCCAATGTTAAACTATCTAAATTTTCTATACGAAAAGCGCATATATTTTTGCTTTTAAATTATTTAGTCTTGTTAATTTTAATTCTATTGTTATATAAAAAGCAGTACTTTTAATTGGCCTTTAGGATTAGACAGGCTCACGTATAAGAACATTAATTTAACCACAGTCACAATAATAAAACTACTAATTAGTGAGGTATTATAACTTTCAACGATTACCTTTAAATGCGAATAGAAAGTTTAACTAAATGGTAAATACAATTCTTTATTACTAACATAAAATAATTGCCAGAAAAAATTGCAACACTTATAGGTACTTAAAATTATTGAGTACTTATTATATAATCTATACCTATCATAGTTTTATAATAATTACATATATTTCAGTCAAGTAGTCGCATTCGTGTTATATACAGAGTTAAATAGCAACTCCTCAAGCGTGGTAATCCCAAAAAAAAAATAGATCGATCCAACGGTCACCTTCCTGCGGTAATCGAAAATGCAAACCAATACAAAAACAAACCCCTATTGCATTTGTAAAATCGTCCTTTTCTGCTCATTCCAGTAATACATTGGCGATAAACAAGGAGATCACAATAATGGAGCGCGCTTACCCTGACAGATTATAATTATGACGTCGACGTCGTGCGAAAACGTTGGTTTAATTTTATTAAATTAATCCAAATTAATCCGGGACCCGGTTGCCATAAAACGCGATGGGTCGCTCGTAAAATTGGACGGCACATGCTCCACTTAACCTGCACATGTGCTTCTAACGGTATTTTTTCAATGAAGGGTAGCCTACCTGTAACAGATTACACTAATAGAATGTTTCAACGTTCAGGCACATTGTATTTGGTTAACATTAATATTCATTTGTAAACTACTTACATGAAAAATTTTATACTTAGTCAAAAGTCATTGAATGTTACCTTTTAGAAACGTATAGTCATCAGTAGGAAAGTTATTGATTCGGAGTCATTCATCATTGTACCACGAAAAGGAAATAAAGTTTGTACGATATCCTGTTTACTTTCACTGGGACGTTAGCTATATAATTCCATAAATTTTAATTAGAGAGCACGTGATGCAGACTGGGTTGCATATACTTGTGCTCTTATCTAATTTACATGAAAATGCGCACCGCTGCATTCAGATTTAATGTCTCAATTGATGCTCGGCCGGCGCAAGCGCACCTTTGTGCACTAAACAAGATGCGGCACCTAAAGGCTTTATGATGCCCTTAAACGTATAATTGCACCTAGACGTGTGGTGTGCTACAAAAGGACGACTCTCTTGATGGATTTCTTTAATGTATATGTCTTAATTATGGCCCATAAAAGATGCTCAATCGTACCGCCTATGTCTTGATGTCTTTTTAATTGAACTCTAATATTTTTGCGATGTACTGCTGTACCTCAAGCAGCAAGACACCTGTTAGAAGCTTGAGACATGGCAGGGAATTGTTGACGTTGTTCTAGGAAGAAAAAAATGTTTACAGTTCATGTCTTCTTAATTTTCTAAATACACACGATGGTATTTTTCTTCAAATTTCAATAAAATTACGCAATTTTACAAATATCAGGTTCGTTCCTTTGCTCGATGCAGACTGATTGCACTTTGTCTAGCTTTCGAATATTTTCGTCTTTTTTGTAATTTTTCAGGTTAACAATATGTTATGTGTTTTATGTTTATCTTACTTTTTACCTTTGACATTGAAAAATTCTATCCAATCATAATTGTTTTTGCGAAATTAGCTATTGCTATTGAAAAACGAATAAATTTATTTTGCTGTTATTATAGCCAAAACATTCTTCTAACGAAATTACAAAAAAACACTGTACTAGGACTTGCAGGCAGATAGAGTAACTTATCTGCCTTTTTTAAATATATAATTTCATTGACTTGATGTCATTGACACTGTTTTATATTTCAATATTTTTGATGATTAAGTATAAGGGTGTCAAATTCTTTCATGATATTATTGAGTATTATTTAACCCTTTTGCAACACTAATGTTACATTACGTAAACAATGAAAATATGACGCAAAATGATGATTTTCTTTCCGCTGTTTCTGAAGTCCTTGTAATTACCCTGTACCCTAGAAAAATAATTACATAAAAATATCAATATCTATGTACTAGCGTATTGGATACGACGTTCATATACACGCTGTGCATGAAACGCCGATTCATTGATTTGCGGTGAAGACACAACACTTCAATACAATGTGATTTATTGTATGAAAAAAGAAAGCTAATTTTTTTAAATTATGTAATATTGGTGATATAAAACGTAATATAAAAAGGTGGAATGCAAGATACTGGTTACAATTGAAATGTCACAAAGTTATCTGATATCATTATTATCAATCACCAGACATTCATTTACAAATCCAACAAAAATGTCAAAGGACATAAGTATGTACAGTCGGTACCCTAAGATATCTGACCCCCTAGCCCACCTTTTGGTTCTAAAAGCCTTCTTATGCTTTCGACAGAAAAGTGTAAAGGAATTCCAGTTTTTTCGATAAAAATTGTATTTATATCTAATTAAAAATCAAATTGGCTCAAAAAGTATTTCAAAATGTCATACACTAATGATACAACAAGGTAGTTATATCGAAAAGAATTTTACGGCTCACAAGTTAAAGGTTAAGTTTACTAAACACTTCTTCACACTTAACTACTCAGAACCAAATAGATAGTTAGGATGTTGTATCTTAAGGCATCGACTGTACATCAGTTTTTCCATTCACAAGATATTGCACGCTTTGACATAACATTACAAACTTTATAGTTTGTTATATATACATTTTGCGTACTCTATACATCTGCACTACATGTATCACAGAGACTAGTACAGTACAACAAAGTTCATTTTTATTGAATATGTTTAAACATTTGCACAGTACCTATGTGTGTAATTTTAGATGAGCATAAATATGGTATAAGATATATTGTATAAGGTTTTAATTAAAACTTGCACTAAATATTAATTGCACATATACGAAAAATTAGTGTTGTTTGTATGTTTATCTAATATATGTTGCATTATGTAGTTAAACTGCCCAATGTGATATGTAGTTAAGTTTAACCCATACTGTCCCAGTTAAAAAAAAAACACAGTATATCGTCCTCCTCACTAACGTATCTGATATTTTTATGATCATTGAGAAAGACATAATATCTATAATAGGTACCGTAGCTACTCAACTTTCAAAAACAAACATATAACCTAAAAGTATTGAGCACCCACGATAAGTTTCAGTTTCATGGGGAAAATCAAATTGAAACAATTTGTACACATTGATACTAATATTTATTCTTTAAAAAAATTTTTTTCATTCGAAAATACATTCAATAAAATAATTTGTAAAACTTAATATAGCGTAAATTGTAATGTTTTGTTTGTAAAATTAAAAATAAGGTATTTAATTAATAACTATTGTAACTATAGTGAAAAAATAGGGTGGTTTGCATCAATATTAGACATAACTGGTTGAAGACCGTACCACCTCAGTCAAGCGTGACCATGGGACCTGTAAAGGGCCCGAAACGTCGGTTTGTTTGAAAAAACAAATATACGCGATTTAAATCCGGAAAAATAGTTTCATTTCTTTTTTTTTTTAAATCTAGATTTGATAGGTAAGCCTTAATTAAGGCAGAATTTTTTCGGGTAGAGAACTGACAAGCTTTTTAGTGTTTAGCGTACCATTCTTGATGCAGGTGACGTTTTAGTTCTTACTTGGTGTTTGTGTGGCGCTAGACTTTGTACTTTATACAAACCCCAAAATTTTATATAGTGTGCAGGTCCGGAGACTGGATAGGCCACTCCAGCACGATGTTATGTTATAAATATATTAATATATTTTATGGAGTTATCGGTTTCACACACAAACATTTCGCGAAGTCCTGAATCCGTTCTAGACCATTATGCTGTCATCGCCGTGTTTTATGGTTGATACTACAGTCTAGACAAAATTGTTCGCATATCCGCTTCTAAATAAATGTATTTCTTTTCCATCAGGTTTGGTTCCAAAACCGTCGAGCAAAGTGGCGCAAGAAAGAGCATACAAAGAAAGGCCCGGGGCGGCCGGCGCACAATGCGCACCCGCAATCCTGCTCCGGTGAACCAATCCCACCGCACGAGCTTAGAGCTAGAGAGAGGTGAGCAGCTTACAAGCCACATTTTACACTTCAACTTCTAACACTTTACTCAGTATTTTCAGTATTATTGATATTTTACAACGTAACAGCCAAGGGCATAGGTACTATTTAAATATAAACCATGACTATAGCACCGCTCGAAATAGGTTTTGTTATTAAACATCGGTTGTATCCATAGATAGACATAGGGTTGCATCATGGGTACAAAAATTTACAAAGAACTATTTTATTACGTCCCATTTTTGTAGTATTCTACAAAATTATACGTTCGTACATACGTACAGTCTGTTTTATGACTGTTTTATAAGGTTCTTACTAATTAGGCCCTATTGGTTTTTCCAACAGGGCGAGAAGAAGAAAGAAGCTGGCAAAAGCATTGGAACGCCAAGCAAGAAAGCTGCGAGCGAAAGGCATTGCTGTTGACTTGGAAGCTTTGAAAGCGGAGTACCTTGCTCAGCACAGGAATACCGGAGTATATTCTGACTCGGATGATGGGGATGGAGAGGATATGATCGACGTTGTAGGTGGCGACTCTTGTCCGGACTCAGCGCCTGAAGACTTTTCTCTGCAAGGGAGACTACGAGCACCATCTGGAGCTGACGGAATAAACAATTCTGACAGTTCAACATCAGATGCACATTCCGGACGCAATTTCAGCCCCATACCCGATCCCCAATCATCATTCTTCAAACAATTCGGAACTTCTGCCGGAAATTTCGAAAAGTTCGACTTTGATTCTGGCAGGGCCGTCTCTTTAGACCTAAGTGGCGGAGGCACATCGACCGAGCAGGATTTGTCCAAAAACGGGGGAACAAGAAAACATAATCCTTTCAGTATAGAATCACTGCTTAACACGTGAAAGTGACTTTTTAGATAGATTGACTATAGAGGCTCTTAGATCGTTTGTGTCTAACAACAGTGAATTACTATATTACGTCCTGGTACAACCAGAGAATGCCCTGTTCGAGAATGTGAAGAATAAGGTTTCGATCACACCCTAAAGTGTAAAGGTATATGTGAATGAAATGTTAGTAACGATAAACTCGGATTTCAGTGTGTTGGTTGGACCAATGGGATATAATGTATTATTTATATATCGATAAAGTGTCAGGACGGACTTTAAACAGGCATTTTGTAAAATGTTCCTTTGCTTTAATATTAATGAATTATCATTAGTTGTAATCAGCTTCAGTAAAGACTTCATAGGTACCAGTTAACATATCCAGTGTGAATATTAGGCTTAGGATTGTATTATATAGATTCTAGTGTATATAGATTGTCTTCTTATTTATTTTTTTCATGGATGTTATAAAATAATATATTTTTCTTTATTCGATTCGGGGCAATAATTTAATTCTTTGTTTGTTGATCGTGTCGTATTTTATTTTCTTTGCTATTTTTAGATTTTTATTGTTGACAACAGATCGACCAAAACATTAAAAGCAATAACCTTGACCAATACAACTGATTACGAGTACATAAATTTGCTAAAAAGGTAATTACATCAAAATTATAATAATCGGGTACATTTCACAATGCTGTTACGAAAATATTCCTAAAATAAGAATCTTGGAGGAATTTTCTTCAGAAAAATAGAACTGTCTGTTCAATCATAATGGGTCTAAAATCAGCCATTTAATCATTTTTCCTGAGGTTTCGTCAGGAAGTATTAAAAAATATTGCATTGGCCTTATTTAAACCAAGTTTCGCTACCAGCACCAGCTGGTAGCGTAGCTTAAGAACACTCGTAAGAAATATAAAAGAAACTTAGTACATCCATATTCATAATTACAGTTCTTAAGTAGTGTTTACTGCATTGAGTTTTAATAACTACTCATTAGAATTTATCAGGTCAGAGAGAAGTTCATATCTTATGTCTGCTGTTCAAATATGGTCTGATATATTTTTTTATTTAAAATTCTGTTTAAATTCAAATTATCTCCGTAAAGCATGTGTATTGTTTTCTTAACTTGGCTGTTAGTTAACATTAATATTTTTAATTTACAAAAACATAATAACAGTTGATACGTAAACATAAAGATTACCGAAGAACAAAAACACAACATAGTTTATCTAAAACTACTAAATGAATGGAAACATACGTGTAAATATATTTTGTGACTTTCTGCGATGTTTATATCAAACGGAAAAAATAATATTATTGAAAACTTAAAAACTATATCATTGTTTGTAACAGTCTCTTTAACATCCATTACGAAAATGAAATATTAACCAACTTAAGTTCGGATTCAGTGAGCAACAAAACGGAAAAACTATAAGTAAGGTACCTAAATCCACTTTCCCACGACAGTTTCTGTACAAAAACGTATGCCGTTCATTCATATTACTTTATTTTAGTAAACTAAATAAATAAGAAGCAATAAAAGTTTATGAAACAATTGTAATGCAAATCGTAGTTAGAAATAATAGGCTGAAACGTTGATTGGAAAATAAATGAGAAATATAACAATTGGCGTATAAATTAAAGGAGTTCGTTGGAATCGTAAACCATTAAAACTGCAACAATTAATGAACGCATAATGCGAAGCGATAAGGCCGCAATTAGCCGAGCATGGTCGTGTCGATTTATGAGTTTGACCGTACCATATTTACCACAAAGTGTACAGTCATACATAAAAATTTGAGTAGGTAATAACTTTAGGAATTGAAACTATTTTTCTAAATCGCGTATATTTGTTTTTTCCAAACAAACCAACATTTCGGCCCCTTAACAGGTCCCATAATCACGGCTGACTGAGATGTTCAAGTCATCACCCAGTTATGTCTAATATTAATGCAAACCACCCTATTTTTCAATAGGTATACTTAAAGATATAGTTAATATTAGACAAAACTGATTGATGACTTTACCATCACAGTCAGCTGACCTGAAAAGAACCTGAAACGTTGGTTTGTTTGAAAAAACAAATAGCAATTTAGATCCTAAAAAAAGTTTTATTTCCTATATTTAACAATACTGAAAACCTAAGAACTCGATCGGTAATAATAATAACTTTCATGAATGTTTTGGTCAGCCTATAATTTACTTGGCTCGCGTCGTCATTCGGATGATGTAATTTGTGCATTTAATTAAATACCTAAGTTCATTTGTTTCCAAGTCAAAAGTTCTGTAGTTATTGCACTCTCCCATAAATCAAAATATGTACTACATACTTTGAATTGTTTTAGGATCTACAACGTCCAGCAACTTTGATTAGTCATGGATATTGTCTACAATTTCCCGATTTTTCATTAATAATTAAGCTCCTTGAAATTCATGTGAAATTAAAATTCTAATAAACGTATGTACCTACCTAGTAAACGAACCTACTTAGACAAAATAAAAAAAATCAAAGCCTACTTAGACTATACATATTGTTTTTAACTGTTCTATATACCACTGATTAGACGACTTCCATTTATATAAATAAACTTCTATATATATGTAAAAGAGCATTTTAATTTCACCTCATTATTATCAACTGATAGAATTAATTAATATTGAAGTTGAACATGATTGAAACGTAATGATACAAAATCATTTCGTTAATGATATAGTCATAAGTTGATCACTATAAGGGTCTTTACTTGGTTTTGTATACAGTGCAGACATAGAAAGCTCATTACTTGGACGCAAACACAAGAAGAATTCACAATGACAATGCTATACTTTGATTAAAGTCGAGTAATCGCATCAGTTCTATTTCAACAATCGTCTTCACGCCTATTACTATTTAGATATTTTACAGTTAATGCTGCAAACAACATGTTCTTGAAGTTGTACTAAATTATAATAAAGACTTAACACGTCTACTGAAAGCATAGTAACATAATTACGTAAATACCCTAAAATGTACATTGTAGTCGAAAACAATATTTAATAGGTACAAAATAATTAAGTTAATTTATATGCAGAAGACGGGATGTGATAAATATTTGTAAATTAATATCGCATTGTGTAAGATGTAAAAAGTATGTTATGTGAGTAACTTATTGAATCAGAATATAACATCATTAAAAGCGAGCTGTGTTTGTTTTATTTTATTGCCTTCGATTTTGGTGAAAAGCATGAAACTTTTTACCTTTGCCATAGCCGCATTAAAAATAAATAAATTATAAAATAAAATACAAAAAAATACAGTGCTGGTGTTACTTAAATTTATTTTGCCTGTTTAATTCCATATATATTATATGGAATATATATTTATTTTGCCTGATTAATTCCATGTATATTATATAGGTGCATTATATTATTCGAGGTTTTTAATGATTTGATTCATATCTAAAAATTATCTAAATGAACTAGTTTATAGTTCACGTAGTATTCACTATAGGCTAATAATTTAATTCTTAGCAATTCATTTTTGTCACCTACATTAAAAGTCGCGTTTTTTCAACCTTACCTATTTCTGCCGCCAAACAGTAATGTGAGCATTACAGCGTTCCAGTTTGGAAGTGTAAGCCTTCTGGTGAAATTACAGGCACATGGGACTTTTAAATTTATGTCTCAGGGTGTCGGACGCAGTGGCAGAGCCACTGCGATTTAAGGCTCTGAGTGGCACTGCAACTGTTATATAGGATAGGCGTGTCGTTTACCACCAGGCATATGACTTGTTCGCCTCGTCACTTGTTATTATAAAAAATATATGTTATGCACACTTTTATTCCTTTTATTTGGAGGATGTAGGGAATCAAAAAACCTAAAAATCGTTCTATGGACAAAAATCAATGCTACGTTTCTGAGGATTACAGAAATACCGTCACTTTAAGTAACTAGTTGACCTCGTTTTATATGTTATACACACACCAGATATCCAAGGTCTGTGATGTTATACCATAAACTTTAGAGCACAGAAAAACTTCTTGAACTTTTGATTTTGTCCTAATTATACAGTTACTAGCTGTTGATTAACAAAACTATATATTTTGGAAATTTATCGCTATAATCAATCATCAATAATGAGTAACACCGAATATAATTTACGTTTATACCTACCCCGCTCTACCACCGCATTAAGGTTGAGATTTATAAAACGAACTTTAATTTCGACTAAGCTGAGATGGCGAGCTAAGCGTGTTTTTGGTATTTACAAAACGAACTTTGTTTAAGTAAACTCAAAATTTAATTTAGCTTCTCGCTTAAATTCAGGCAAAGTACGTTTTGTAAATTCGATAACCCTAGATCTTCGTCTTTGCTTAGTCGAAATCGAAGATTACAAGATAGATATTTACCACACTCTAGTATACCAACTCATAAAGCCGTTAAAACAGGCATTCTGAGATGTGAGCGATAAAAGCCGATTACAGATTCGCCGCGCCACCGTCAGCGCTCGTTCTGATCTGAATTATTCCCTTCCTGCGCACAAAGATGGATGGATAACGATGGCAACAATTTGCAAAACGTTTGGCGCCTCGCTACAAGTGCTAGTTAGAGATATTCTGATAGAATGTATAACTAGCGAGTTAGAAAGTACGTCGTCGTAGATATGGAATTTACTACACTATATTTTACAAGATGAAAAGTATGCGATGGAATTCACGATTTTATTCCGCCTTCACCTTCATCATCGGAGGAGTAGACGTAAGCTGAGGTTCCACCCCCCTGTTGTGGGTATTCCAAAGATACACACAAAGCATTACGTTTCCACATTTATATGGCGAACGGCTATGGAAGTCCTTGCCTGCAAGGTAATTCCCTGAATCTGTAACTTGATTCTTTTCAAGGAGTGAATGAATATGCATCATTTAGACGTGCATGCACTATCAATGCATGAGGTCGACACCTCATCGTCACTTTCCATCAGGTGAGATGGACGTCAAACGCACACTTATTTTATTATAAAAAAAGAATGGTTATGAGTTAGTGACACGAGCTCAGAATAATTTGTCAATTTTTACGAAATAAATAATGTCCGATAGTAGAAAAAAAAAGTCCGATAGTCCTGGTTATGATTCTGGGAAATATGTACGTAAGACACGGCTGTTTTCTTGTTTCTCTTATTACGTTACGTACGTATATATACTGCCCTACTTTAAACTGGATAAGGGAGTCAGATTTTATGTTAAATCGTTTAAGACCAAAGATGGTTTAGCCCGGATTTTACCCAAAGCTTATAAGCAAAGTTTATAGTCTATTTCTGCCGAAAATCATGGTCGTAAAGAAACTAACACGGAATTTGATATAATTCCATAACTGTTACAAATTTCGATGTAAAATTTTTTTTTTGACGAAAAAGACGCAACTCCACACAATATCCACTATTTAATCTTGTGGATTCTCACTACTTTAGGGATGTATTGTTATAAGGATGCACATTACGATTCGATTTTCAAATGAAAATCGATTCAAGTGCATACGATCTAACGATTTTTTGCATCGATTTATTTCATTGCGATTTCCAAGAGTATCGATTTAACAGAATGAACATTTTGTAATAATATCATTCTTACAT